ACTTGCTGTACGTACGTGTATAGACGTGTAGATACCGCGGTGTCATTCCAGGTCGTCGTCTATGGAAGATGACAATATAGAGCGAAGCTTCGCATCTTCCTATAGTTCCAGGTGGCGAGCCACAGAGTATTCCCAATTCCACGCACAAGCAGCAGACCACCACCACCAGCTTTCCGCTGTTCGGTGCTTCGTCAGAACAAATTACTTGGCAGTCAGTGTATAAAATAAATACTTGTACTGTAGGCCGCAAGATAGGGCATACTGTACCTACTTTGTGACACGGCAACAACCAGTACACATACATGCATACGGTAGGTCGCCGATCTTCTGATTTCATCGCACACAACTTCTACCACCGTGCCGTTTGGTGCAGTTTGGTAGCCAGGAGGTTATCTTTTGGTCCCCAGATCGTGGTACGCCAGGCACAGCAGTACAGTACATACACATCATGCATGTTTTTGTTGTTTTTTTCATCTTTTCTTGTTGCCCACGGGGTATTTATGTACTTGTCACCCGCCCATAATTTCCACCCTCGGGGCAAGCTCGGGGTAATGATATTTGATCCCTCTCACCAGCTGCCTCTCACCACACCCTTTCTGCCCCTTACAACGCACAGCCAACCCAGCCGGCAAAGTAACAGGACAGGATCAAGAGGCCTTCTTCCTCTAGGTATGGTGAGGGATTGGTGTTTAGTCATAGAGAGTGCAGACGGTACAGACCGGTGTGTGCGTATCAACGTTCGGCGGTTGGCATATATATCATGACCTCTTGCGGAAGGTAGAATGTACATTCTCCTCTAGAGTTTGCCTTCGTTCTTGCCCCCCCCGCGCTCCACGCAAGAAGATCCATCCCGCCATAGTGCAGCGTAGCCAGCCAGTACGTGTGGATTAGCCAGTCAGTGCTGGTGAGATTGCATGTGAAGTCTAGTGTAGTGCATCTGAACCTGGTGATGTAGTTCGGGCGGTCGAACCTTCATCGTAGCAATTGCAATATGCCGATGATCGTACAACATATACATCCAAAAATGTTGTTCGATCGCAGCCAGCCGCTCTGCGGTAGCGAACCGACATGAATGTTGACGGGGCTGGGATGATGCCAGAAGAACGCAGTCCACCTGCCCACTTACCAGACAATGTTGCAAGGCTCCACATTTTGAAAGATCGCAATGCTATAGCAAGCACTTGAAGTTCAGCAAGTCGCCCTCAGCCCTGTTCACGATGCGATGTACAATCTTGAAGTGAGAGACACTCCGGGAGAGAGATGCAGCAGTAATGCCGCCCCTCGAACGAATGATGTGCTGAAGTCTTTCCGGCAGTGAGTGTTGATACACCCTGCGCTACAAGTAGTCTATTTTACTATTTTACTACACTGCTGTTGTACGCTGTTTTTGAGTGTGTTCAAGCCGATGTAGGTAGTGTTCTGTGCACTTGAAGGATCGGTGATGCCAGCCAGCACTACTGCTGTAGGGCACCTACGCGTCAACTGGTAGATGGTCGTCTACTGAGCTGTCTGAAGTTGACTGCTGTACAGCCGTAGTTCATGTGTTCGCTTTGAAAACGAAGAGAATGAATGCTGCATGCACAATAAAATCGAAGGCAAGCATCGCAAGAGGGGGTGGGTGGAGGCCACAGGAGAGGATCCCTTGTGTGTGAATGGAGTGGAGCTACACGGCAGAAACGCTTTGAGCGCTTGTCATAAACCAGTCTCCAGTCGGTTTCAATCCACTTGCTGAAAATACTTCACCACATCCCTTTCGACTGAGGTTGTATCTCGAACGGGTAGTCTTTCTGTGAGGTTCACGTTCTAAAAACAAACGAAACAAAGTGTGGTTTCCGTAGGACGCGTAAGATACCACTCCCCTTGGACCTATCTATCTTGAAAGCTTGATTACTCCACGACCAAGAGGATGCCGAAATCAAATGATGCGTGTTCGGCAAGTTCTCGACGAGACGGTTCCAACGTCCCCAGATTCGGCACCGCCGTTGCTTTCTGCTGTGGAGTAATCGAGCTTTGAAAATCGGTCCAGGGGGTGCGATATATTTTGCAACCTACAAGTACGGGACATCTCTAACAAGAAAAAACAAAGTGTATGGATAAATATATATATGCTATGCCGGCCGGTCGGCTCGGGGTATTCGTTTATCTACATGACAAGTCAACAAATGTCTTCGGCGTTGCTATATCCCGATATCCCGAAGCTGCTTCTTGTGCTCAGGTTTGAGCACGGAAACGGGGAGGGAATTCCTATCTCTGCACCAACATTGAGGCCACGACGCGGAAGTGCTCGTTTTTGAAGCAGCGGCAAGGATGACTGCGAAGAGCAAATAATGGGATAGGGCTTCATATCGCGAAACATAGAGCAGATCTCTACAGAGCTACTTTGGAAGGCTGCCGCAGTACATGAAGGCCATGCGTACGCATGATGTAGTTTTATTTGCACTGTTTGGCAACAAACGAAAACGCCTAACATGTGACGTTCGGATATCCCCTTAGAACAGGGCACACAACCTCCCCAACGTCTGCAGAGAGCGATTCTCCCTCTTTTCACATTATTGGCGTCGACGGACGGATGTCTGACCCCAGGGTCAACTCCGCCACCCGCGGAATGGTGGGGGGCCAAAAACAGAATGTTGGGGCTCCGGGTGCACCCTAGGCCCTTTTGGGTTCATGTACCACTTTAAGACAGCCTGAAAGAGTACTCTAAAGTGTGCGGATCCCCTTCATTCAAGGTACAACTACCCAAAGTCTGACGATCCCTCTGTTCGCACGAGCCGGACCCCAAATTTCGTGACCGATTGTAGGTACAGTTAGCCTGCGACCACAGAAGGCGTAGGCGTTAGTTGGATCAGCACAGATGATAAGATGTGTAGAGATCGGGACGTTTTTGTGCCAAGAACAACAAACACCAGTAATCCCAGTTCGTGCGACTTCGCTGAGATTCGAACTCAGGTCGCAAACCTCAGAAGGTTGCGAAGATACTGACTGTGCGGTTCGATTCGCTCTGCACTGGTGTCGCTACTTCCGCCAAGCAGACCACACTTCCTGGAGAAAACGCGGCGTAGTAGCCATGACAAATATTTCCAGCCGCCTGCTGGGCGTCCTCGGTGCTGCTGTAATCCTGTCCAGTGCCGCGGCCTACTCCTACTCTAGCGACGGCTGCTGGGAGTATGGCATCGGAGACGGGTACTGCGAGCAGCAAAACAACAACGCAGAATGCGGTATGTGTACCTCCTGGTGATGTGACGTGCTCCGTCAGAAATAACGCTTGTCCAAGCCCTTGAACATTGGGAGCTGACACGATACCTAGAGGTAGACGGTAGCCAAGGGTGACACCGAGTTTGAAGAGCTTTGCTCTCTTCCTGTAGTCTACGTAGGCATCGAGGATCGTTGGTACAGTACGCGGCATGAATAGTAATGCTCAACTATGCCCGTCTGCCCCTCTCAAATACACACCTGGTTAGTGAAGATCGCCGCACCCTTCGAAGGTATGTAAACTATTGATCACCGAGATCGTTGGGCTGTTGTTGCAAAAAGTCTCGTGTCTATCGCTCTCTCTCTCTTTCGATTTACGAAATCAACGAATTTGGGGGCAGCATGTGCCTGGTCCAACAAGCTTTCGGCACTCCCCCTCGTGACTGATTGCATGGTTATAACCAGCTGTGGGCCTACAACCCTCGTTGCAACAGGTCTGATGAGGCTCGTCTCTAACCTAGGGCCAATATCCTGCTTTTCCTGTTGGCATTCGTTGTCGTCCCCCCTCGCCCCCCGCCTTTGCAGGGTACGACGGCGGTGACTGCTGCGAGTGCACTTGCCAGGTACGATCTGTTTTTTGCGTATGTTTTCTTTCGAGATGTTGACTCTGCTCTCTCGCATGGAGCTCTCCCCTTTCCGCCCTCGATACGCTTATTGAACAGAGTGCCCGATTGACAACACTTGTTCGTATTGGCACATTGCACATCGGATGCACATGCGAGGCGTAATTATACTCATGCGCGAATTTTCCATGCAGCATAGGCATGGGTCTTTCTCGCAATACCCCGTCGTTGCCGCCCCGCCGTCGCTGAAAACTCTTTTCCTCCTCCGCTGTTGACGCCCCTACCCACTCCAGACTCAAAGCGACGACGACTACTACTATTCGTGGGGTTGTGATGTGGACTACATGGCCTGCATCGACCCAGACGCCTCTTGCGTCGACGATGACGACGTTACTGTTGAAATGGTGGAGAACTGTGAATACGTCCACGATATCGGGGACGGTTACTGCGACGACGGGAACAACAAAGCAGAGTGCGGTACGTGGGTCCGGGAATAGAGTATTCAACGGCAAATAGAGGTTAGCGCTCGATTTCATCCCAGAAGCAGCACTGTTCAGCGGTTCTAAAACGTTTAGAACCAACAAGACATCCAAAAATAGATTAGCCTGGCCTAGTGACATTGTCCTATTCAATTTGTGTTCTCTCGATACAAGATTCTGTTCTTGGTCTCCTTTTCACCTTCCTTCATCTCACTGTTTGCATGAACCTACGGGGTGAATATGACGTTGACATGGTATTGTAGAAACTGGTCTCTCCCTCCGACAGCATTTCTCGCAATAGGTCCTCTCTCTCTAATGAGGAAGAATGGTTTCAATGGGGTTGAAGGTAGCATGGCGAAAAAATTGTTGCTCGGTGCGAATTCGGTGCATTTGGCAGCTCCTCTCGCCGTTTCTGTCTTGCACATTCTGTCGATTTCATGACTTTTACGGTTGTCCCCCTTTCCATGAAGCAGCCGGCAGGTATGTGTTGATCAACACCAGACATGATCGGGTTGAAAAAAACACCCACTTTCTCATGCATCATTGCCTCCTGAAATTGCGTTGGCATGCAAACCTGCTCGGCCCCATCCCACCTGCAAGGTCAGGTGTGACCCTGGTGTTTGTTCGTCCCGTCTCTTTCTCCCGTGTTTGTCGTTGTTTGTCCGTTTCTATCAGGCTACGACGGCGGTGACTGCTGCGAGTGCACATGCGTGGTGAGAATATTGTGAATCGTAGTCGTGAATTGGTTCCCTTGAAGCAGTTTGCTTCTCCATCTTCGGTAGATTTCGCTCCCATCGCCCTTCCTCTATACCTCTACCGCCGGTCTGAATCTAACATTCGACAATTTAGTTCGTTCTCTTCGCCTACGGAGTGCATAGAACCACCAGTGTGCACATTCTAAGCAACAAAAGCGCTTGAAATACCCGTTGGCATTACAAGGCCACTCAGAATATTTTTTCTCGATGTGTGACTCCCCTTTCATCTCTGAGGCCGAATATTCTCCCTCTCTCTCACCCTTTTACACAGACGTCTCTTGCTTTTATCGGTACGCATGCAAACAGAAGATGTCCTAAGCGGGTTCCGTAATTCTCCTCTCTTCATCTCTCACTCCGACGCTTCTCTCTTATTTCGAGGTCCCTACTGTGGATTTGAGCATGTACCTCTCTTTGCCGCGCGCTTTCAAAACCAGAACCCATACGACGACGACTGGCGCTGCTCCAAAGACGGTTCCGGGTTTGCCTGCATCGACCCGGATGCCTCCTGTGTTGAGGACGACGACATCACCATCGAAATGGCGCAGAATTGCGACACTTCGGAATTGGGGGACGGTTACTGTGATCAGGACAACAACAACGAAATATGCGGCAAGTGTTTGACGTGTTTTATATCCGACCCGCTGGACGTCAAGCTATCGCACACGTCAACGTTTGCAAGGACATCGACCTACGCAAACCACTTGACATTTTATGGCAGTGGTATTGGCCTGCTCTGCGTACCTCTCTCTCTCTCTCTCTCTCTCTCTCTCTCTCTCTCTCTCACTCATTCTCTCCTCGCTGTCCTGTAGCGGCCCCTCGCGCACGTGCGCCCTCACTTCCCTCACATGCTTCACCTTCGAACGACTGCACAACCCATCCCGCACGCTGTCTGTATTTTCTGCACGTTCTGCACGTTTGAAATCGCGTCAGCAGTTATTGAGTTTCTGGTTGCTGTCGCCGTCAACTGCGCGTTCGGCGAACCTGCGAGACTGTCCGCACTCCGACGGGTCAAAAGGGGCTTGAACCCAAGGAAGACGTAAACCCATCTGTAACGAGTTGTTTCGATGTTTTACGATGTACTTCAAAGGTTACACCAACACTTCCCGCACCCCTGCTTCTTCCTTGCCGTGCCTCTTTGCCTCAGGCTACGACGGCGGCGACTGCTGCGAGTGCACGTGTGAGGTAAGCAAATCGGAGAAGAGCGTGGGAGTTCTCATAAGTGTATGCTTTGGGCCCTGCCCCGATTGTAGGTATCCCAACTTCTCTGTTCCGAACACCAGCGCCCCAATTCTTCTGAACCCTTTGCACGCGAGAGACTTTCCAATTCTGCCGTCTCACTTATCGGGTGCAGCACATTAAAGGCATGGGTTCTCCCGTTCAGTTGTAGTAGGTCTGCAGAAAGAAGCACGACAGTTAGGTATCCAATGAACGAGACGAGGATTTGAATTTTTGATGCATTTCCATGCGCTCTGTACTTGCTGGCGTTAGTTTCCAACCGAATCGGTAGGTATTCCCCCCCTCCCCCCTCCTATCCTCGCTACTGCTCTATGATGACAATGCTCTCGAGGACGCGCGGTCCACGGTCCAACATCAAACGCGTGCGAAATATCAGTAGCCCCCCGCCCCCCCCTACTGTCCTCTCTAATGCTCTGAAACGCAAGTTCTTCCTGCTATAGCCAAGGCGAGTCCTGCCTGGCTTGTCACTTGCTTCCTCGATCCCTGACCTCCCCTCCAGCCCGCCTTCCTCATCCTTGAACAAGTACTGCTTTTGGTCTGTTGGTGCTCGTGCTTGTGCCAGAGCCCATGGGACGACGACAACGACTGGCTCTGCTCCTCCGACGGTTCGGGGTTCGCCTGCATCGACCCGGCAGCACCGTGTGTTGAAGACGACGATATCACCGCCGTGATGGTGGAGAACTGCGGGTATGTCAAATCTGCAAACAACGACATTGTATTGTATGCACGGGTCCTTCTTGGTTCTGTCGAGAAGCGTTTCCCGTGTAGTGCGGCGTGTAGACGTCTATTGAGTATGGGTGCGGTGCTTCCACTAGGCTTGCTACTCCGCCACATCTAGTCGCTGGCGCCCCACCTTGGGACGATCTGTACGAACGAGCATTTTTACTCGGGAATGGCTTTCGCTGCCGATGTGATATTCGGCGTGGCATGGATGTACGTGCAGTGACAGCGAATTGCCGCCGATATGTTTCGGAGTCTCTCACATGTGTGTGTGTGCTTTTTTTATTATTCGCATCGACCGCGCTAACCGGCTGACCATTGAAAACACGTCAGTCTCAGTGCGGCTGAAGACGCAAAACTCTTCTAAATGCCATCAACAGACACCCCGCGAGGGGACGGATGGGGGAGGCTAAGCTGCATATTCTCCAGATGAAAGACAGAAACAGTAGCAATAGAAGAAAACCGCACGCGTCTACCAAGGCTGCTACCTTGCACTCGAGTTCGTTTTGGAGTGCTTTCACCACGATCCTCCTCGCTTTCACTACCATCATTCTCATCATCATTTTGACAGCAATGTTCCGGCAGTTCTTCTCTGGCCCTGCATCATTTGTTGTGGGGAAGGTCATCTGGCTCGAAGCTCTTGCTCTCTTCCTCTCCATGATTCCCTCTTCTATTGCTATGCTGGGGTCTGTCTTATCCTCCTCCCGTTCCCTCTCCTCGTCCTTCATCGCTGCCAAACGAATTCCCCTCGTTGCATCATGACCGTTTTATCTGAACTACTACTGAGATCCCAACCTAGTGGCCGGGGTGGAAATTGATCAATCAGTAGTTGTGTGTGTAATTTCTTCTTCGGCCGTGTTCGGCCCAAAAACCTATGTCCTCCACCCATCATGACATGTTTGCTGTTCAGATGGTATCCCGCCCAGTGTGATTTCCCAGAATCGCCGGTTGAGGAACGTGCCCAGCCTTTGGTTCGCAATAGCTGCTTGGAATCCGGCCAAACCGCTGGCGACGCTGACTCGTCGTCCTGCTCATCTCCAGATTTTGAAATGTAGTGCTGGAATAATCCTCACCTTTTTTTTGCTGCCCTATGGTATAACGCGCTTGATACTGACCCAGGTACGTGAGAAATGTGGGCAATGGATGGTGTGACGAGGAAAACAACAACGAACTGTGCGGTGAGTTTGCATGGGCTATGCAGAATTTGTGCGGAAGTCCAAGCGGCTGCCCGTGCACACGCTGGCATTGGAGACATTTTCGAGGTCACGGACGCAATCGGTGCCATCCGACCTTGATTCTTCGTGTTCTCCTTCTCCCAAGCTATTCATGACCCCCTTTCCGCCCGTCCCACCCTGATTGCCCAGGCTACGATGGCGGCGACTGCTGCGCGTGCACATGCGTGGTGAGCAACCTTTCAATTAGACAAAGCTCTAAAGGTATCAGTATTTCTTGTTCCTTGGTAGATCGCTTTGCCCTTGCCTTTTCATCGACTGACTTGATCACCTCATGTCGGGGGTTCGAAAGGGCATCCAGTCCCGTTTCCGCATTCGTTCTGGTGTTGTACGAAACGCTTGGAACCCGTATGTATGCCAAAGCCGTTCGGATGGAGCTTTTTCTTCGGCATGTCTTCTTTATCTGTCCTCTGTCCCAATGGTCAGATACCTCTCTTTCCCCGTAAGCACACTTGTCGTCGATTCGTTGCTTTGGATACGCACCCGTCAGGCTCCACCTGAGGACGACGACTGGGATGATGACTGGTACGGCGCCTGCGGCGGTAGCTTCGCCTGCATCGACCCCAGCGCGGCTTGCGTCGACGATGACGAAGTCACTGTCGGCATGGTCGAGAGTTGCGACTCTGTCTCCATTGGCAACGGCTACTGTGACATGGACAACAATAACGAAGCCTGCGGTGCGTGCTCATAGCGTCTTGGTTCGGAGCTTGGTTCTCATGCCCCGTAGACTGCATTGCGATCAGGACATGAAAGGCGTTAGGGCTAAGACGGTTTTACGACCCAAGTGGACTCAACTGGCGGAAAGGATGTGCTGGAATGGCGCAAGCCATGTCAAGGAAACATGATGCAGCCTGAAATCAACTTTGACGGGCGATATGTCAAGCCTGCTCTGTTATCCAATGACAGAAGACGTGTCGTATGGTAGGGCGTGGTGTGATGTGGTGTGCACTAAACGATTCTATTCCGCCGTTCGTTTTCCACGCTCCCTCCCTCCCCCTCCATTTTTTCTCAGCTTACGACGGCGGCGACTGCTGCGAGTGCACCTGCGAGGTATGCGAATCGTTGCTTCTCCTTTGCGGATTCTAAGCGAAACCCTTGAAGGGCATGAGACTGGTAGGAGAGAACACTGCCAAGGATGCAGACTCCTGAAAAAGGGAGTCTCGGTCGCTCTGTACCTGGTCTCGCGAGTACTCGCTCGTGGCTGTGAACATGCTGTTCATGCTGGACCAGGGTATGTGCGCAGTAGAGAGGTATCCAATCTCAGTGGAATTAAGACGATCGCATCAAGTACTGCTGTGTGTCGGACACCCAGGAGGTGAGTCATATCGCTTAGGTGAACTAGGACATCACACCCCCTGGACCAATTTCAAAACTCGATTGCTCCATGACAAAGACGATGAATATATCGAACGATGCGTTTCGGGAAAGATCTCGACAAGACGGTTAGACCGTCACCGTTTTCGGCACCGCCGTTCTTCCTAAAACGGAGTAATCCGAGCTTTGTATCGGTCCGGGGGGTGCGAAGTGTGGCATCGAATATCCCTATGTTGTGCCTCACAGCTGTCTCCGGGTGTCTCCCGGAGCACGCAGAGCAATCGAGCCGCTTCAATACCAGGCAGTGCAACGAACGGAGCACGGAGTGACCCTCCCTGCCACTTTGTTGCTCGATCTCTTGCAATGTTTTTGCGTGTCTCCTGGAAATGCGTTGCTACGTATGTGCTTGTCAGGACACGCCGAACAACAAGTGCGGCAGGTGGGGCAATTTCGCCTGCATCGACCCTGCAGCACCCTGCGTCGATGACGATTCCTTTACCGTGGGTATGATCGACAACTGCGGGTACCCAGGGGGAATCGGGAATGGCTGGTGTGATGAAGACAACAACAACGAGCTATGCGGTACGTCTTGTGGATCTACTATCGGAAGGTGGAGTCTTTCTGCATCTTCAACACGTTTGCCACCCTACTGTAGCAGGAGATGTTATCGCAGAATGGTTAGCGACAGTCTGCCTTGTCCAGTACCAGTGAAAACAACGCCGTATTTCCCTCCCTGGCTTCATCCAGCTGGCTTTATCCCTTCTTGTTTTACGCGTCCGGGCGGTTTTCCAGTGAACTTGTGTAAAGTGTCTCCTCGAACACGTCACAGAAATCGCAAGCCTTGCTGTCCCAAGGGAATGCCGACGCATCGGGCGTAGCCGCTTCTCCACGGCAGAGGAAATCACAGGGTGGCGTTCGTGAATCAACCAGGCTCCATGTCTGTTTCCCGCGCTGGTAGTCCTTAAGACAAAGCTACGTAACGCTACGGGTCAAGGAGCAACTCTCTCTGTCGTCTGTACTTCTCTCAATCTCTCTTTTATTTGTGCCATGTTGGCTGCAGGTGCGCCGTACAGGTAATGAAAGAACGTCTGCTTTTCGTTTGGAGTGGATGCTGCCAAATCCATTTGCTCCTCTCCCTCGTTTCTTGTTGTGCACTGTCATGCGAGACTTGCCGCATTCGAACTACATGTATGTTCCCGGGGATCGGGCTCCAACAAGTCGTAACGTTCTCGCCCGACAAGCTCCTCCCTTGTGATTTCCCCTCGATGTTTCGCTGTCCTTCTGCTCTTCACTCAGCGTACGATGGCGGCGACTGCTGCGAATGCACTTGCGAGGTACGCGGGTCCATTACTGCTGTTTGACCTGCCACGCGAACGTGCTTGAAGTGCGTAGATCCGAGAGATAGAATACGAGTTTTTGTCTCCATAAATAGTAGATTCAGCTGCCCCGAAGCCCTTCTTGCGTTCACCTACTTCTCTCTTTCAACTCTGAAGAAGTACTTCGTTCCATGTAAGGTGGGGACACGGGTACAAACGTCAGCTGTGAAACACTTTGAACCTGCACGTGTGCTAGAAATAGGCAATCCCTTTTGATGGATATTTCATTTGTCCCCTGCCCTTTCCTTTCAAACTGGACATTTTTCTGGCACGTCTTACCCACATTCGAAAAATATATACCTCTTCCCGTTGTCCCTGCGATTTCACGTGTGCGATGTGCGTTTCACGGCGTGCCCGCATCCAAGGAGTGGTAACGTGGTTTTAGCTACAGGGTGGTTCTCTTCCCCCCCATATCTCTGTCGAGGCCGACTACCGCAAGTTATTCATTCCCCCTTTTTGCACGCGCACCTTCCAGAGCCCCGAAGACGACGACTGGGCCTGCCGAAACGACTTCGCCTGTGTCGACCCGAACGCTCCCTGTGTGGACGATGACAGCGTCACCATCGACATGCTCGAAAACTGCCCCTGGGCGGCAAACATAGGCGACGGGTACTGCAGTGAAGATCTCAACACGCCAGAATGCGGTAGGTCTTGGTCCGAGAAGTTCGTTTTCCCGCACCGTAGAGTGCATCAAGGAAGTTCGTGGCGGTTGAAATAGGGATGGGTTCCTTCAAGATGGCGTGGGTGCGGGTGCTAGACGCCCCACGACCTTTTAGATCAGCTGTTCCGCATGGATACTAGCGCTCAAAATAGCCCCAAGGTCTATGAAGGTCACAAGGTCCGTTGATTGCTCATCTTGGGAGCTGTTGAGGCAAGATCACGGTGCGTGTGTGTGTTCGTCCCACTCTGGCGGCGCCTGTCCACACACCTCTTGGTCTAGTCTAGATGTATATATTTGACGTATCAGCGGGGGCCACACAGGAGGCAGGTCATGAAACGCTTTTGTACACTTGATTCTTGCTTACGTCGCTTGGGCAGGCCCCTTCGCCGTTGCCGCCCTTGGACGCACGCGTGTCGCCGCCGGAAATAAGGAACGAGGCCTTATATTGTACGTCAGAAACGCTAGTGCCTTTCCTCAACAAGATTCTACTCCGGTGCGCCACCCTTCTCCATTACTATATCCCTTTTTGTCCAAGGAATGCATTCGTGGCGTGCACTGCATACCAACTACTACCACGAGTAAACCCCCGATGCCTCTCTCTGTTGCCTGTACTTCCGCGTTGTTTTTCTCCAATTTCCGCAGCCTACGACGGCGGTGACTGCTGTTCGTGCACCTGTCAGGTAGGGACGCGGCTCACGCGAGCGCTAGCTAGCCCCGTTCCCGTTCTTGGATGCTAGGAGCTTTCGTTGTGTTTCGTTGGTGGAGTAGTTTTCGTTTCTGCCCGAATACTCCCACAGTAGTTTTGGAGAATGTTCTTTCATCGATGCAGCGACGGACAACGCTTGAAGTGAACTATTGCGAAGCGCTTTTGCCGGCGTTCGGGGGCCGTCGACATCGAACCTTGAAACGCTGGCAAGTAACGCTGAAACAGAAGCAATAACTAGCCGTATTTTAATCCCCACGTCAATATTTGGCAGGCTGCCGAATTGAGGATGGTCGGAAGCTTTGGACAGTAGACACAAGGAAGTCCATGGCGGGCTCTTTTACTTTTGCAAAGTTTTAGAAGAACTTCGAGTTTCCACCTGCAAGAGTTTGAGCGTTCCTCACCGACCATTAAGTGCTTGGGCCCATTCCACCGCCACAACTGTCTCGATCAAACCACTATTATGTTTCCCTTTCGCCTGCCATCAAGACTTGGTCGTGATATCTCACTTTTCCGGCGGGCCTGAGTAAATGCTGACCCTGATTCTGAAAGGAGCATTGTGCTATATGTTTCCCGAATCGAGGTTGTTGGGAGAAAATTATTATTTTCCGGGTTTGGTTCGCCCCCCCCCCACCCCTCCGTCATTCGTCGCTCCCCCTTGCCACCGTCTAAACAACGGTACCCCTCCATCTGCTGCTCGCCCTCGTGCCAGAACGACTTCGACGATGACTGGGCTTGCACGACGTTCGCCTGCATCGATCCAGAGGCAGCCTGCGTCAACGATGATGACATCACCGTCGACATGTTCGTCAACTGCGAATACCCTATCGATGTAGGAGACGGCTGGTGTGACCAAGGGAACAACAATGAGGCGTGCGGTAGGTTGCTGTCCTGCCACGTGTAGCCCGATGCCTTGCTTTTTGTCGCAGAGGCCTGAGGATGGTCGTTTCAGCCCAACACGCACCGAAAACACACACCCGCATCGAGTCCACAAGAATATGGTATGGCTTCCCCTCGACAGAGAATCTCCACAAACCCATCCCCAATGCTGGGGAAATATTCTTTGCCGGCTGTTCCTCACTTGTTTGTTTGCTCCCGACTCGACTACACCCAGATTCCAGGGAGGGGTCGTAACAAGTACTTACAAGCCCTGGGGAGTAGTGGTTTCGCCTAAAGTTTGGTTTGTGTAACAGTGTCTTCGGCCGTCGACACCAGCACCAGCACCACAACTGCACGCACACCGTAGGATACACCATATGTCGCCCTGGACCGATTTTTCTCACTCGATTACACCACGACGAAGAGAACGTACGAATGAAACGGTTGGGGTTTTCGGCAAGCTCTCGACGAGGGGGTTCTAACGCCGCCATCTTCTGGTTCCCACGCCACCATTTTGGCCCCACGTCATTCTTTGCGAGTGGCGGAATCGAGCTTCGAAAAATAGAAGCGAACCTCGCTCTCACGATTGCCTTCAAGGACCAACTGCCTTCATTGAAACTCATCCGAGGGCTCGTACAATATTCATCATGCGTGGCACGACCAACCGACCCACTGCTGTTGTCCCCCCCCCCCCCCATACGTTGTTTGTGTCGTCGTCGTCGTCGTCGTCCTTGCCGCCCTGCTTTCCCAGGCTACGACGGAGGCGACTGCTGCGAGTGCACGTGCGAGGTATAGTACGGGAAGATACGGTCCTCACGAGTCACTTGCAGCGCACGGACCCTAACAGGGCTGACTATGTGTATTTTTCCGTGAATTTTTCTTCCACTCTCGGAAAGTCTACCCATACCGCCGATTGTTTCCAATTCGGACATGTTCGCGGTCTTCGCCGTGGACGGCGATTGATTACCGTCTTAACATCTGTAGGTTTGCTGCGAGTGCATGTGATACACGAGAGGAACCCATTCGGATTCCAAACATGTTGCGCCTGGAATGTTTGGAATCCGAACGGGTTCATGTCGTGTAGGTTTATCTCATCTGTTTGCTTGCGGCTACTTCTCCCATGTTCTTGAGTCAAAATCTGCTGTGTTTTAGAGGGCACGAAGGGTTTGATAGGGGTTGGGTGGAATCTGAACCTACACACCGCCCTTAAGTCATATCATCCGTTCGTCGTGTTGGCGGACATCTCCTGTACTTCCTGTCCCCAAGACTGGGGTGCTGAGCCGTACCTCAATCTTGGTGTTCGTTTTTCTGCTTCTTCTTGTCCTCACCCCCCTGTCAGAATGAACATGACGACGACTACCGCTGCATGGAGTTTGCTTGCATCGACCCCAGCGCGCCCTGTGTAGACGATGACGACGTTACCGTCGACATGGTCGAGAACTGTGGCTACGTCTCCGGCATAGGCAACGGCTGGTGCGATAGAAACAACAACAAGGAGGAATGCGGTGAGTCACGGTACCCCTTGAGGTCATGCGTCATGAAACGGTACAGGATATCGTTCACGCACAACTGTGTGATAAAACATGCACCTCTCTTGCCGCTAGAGGGTGGTTGGTAGGTTAGACTGAACAGAGCAGACCTAAGTCCGTTTGGTGTGTCCCATCTTCTTGAGCCTACTTGGCTTGACAATGCACAGAATCGCTGGTTCAATGAACGATCGGTGACGGGTAAAGGCGTCAGAGCCGTGCTTTGCTGTGACAACAATGTTTCTAGGGATATCTCCCCTCATCTCCGCTTTCTTCGATGTCAGGCCCTAGATGCTGCTGGCGACGTACGAATATTTTCGGGGTTGGGGTTGACCAGCGCTCTCCTTCTCTTCTCTAGCACACAGTTGCGTCGTCGTCCAGCAGCATACGGTGGCGACAATGTTGTCCAACTCTTTCTCCCTTTATTGCGATGGACGCTCTTGTTTCGCGTGGTTGAAAGACCGCAGCGTGAGGCACACTCTTCGTTTCCTGCGCTTGCGTCGATTGCTTCCAAATATGTGTAGATTGGTAGTGACAATATATCAACACCACGTCGGGCCCGGCGGTGCCGACTACACGACACAAACACAAGCGCGATGCTTGTCTCGTTTCGCACTTTGTATCTTGTTGCGATTCTTGGTGACTTTCGTTTCGTTGGACCCTCTTCCTTCTCGGCCATAACCCTTTGCTCGGTGTCCCTTACTTGAACCTTAATCAGCTGTGATATTTCAGCACCTCATATTTGCCTCTCCCTCCGCGGCTATCTCCTATTAGGCTACGACGGCGGCGACTGCTGCTCTTGCACATGCCAGAGCGCGTATGATGACGACTACTCCTGCAGCAGCGAGTACGGCTACTTCGACTGCCAAGACCCTACCGCCTCCTGCTTCGGCGAAGGAACTACGGGGAGCGACGACTTCAGCTTCCACGACGACTACCAGCCAATGTCGTACGAGTTCCTCAGCTGGGAAGAGACAGAGTCCCTGCCTACGGTCGTTGACGCCGTCGAGGTGGGCACCAAGACCGAGGTTGGCGTATCAGCCACCGCCCACGATGTGCGGCCCGGCAGCAGCGGCGACGACGTCGGGTGTGGAGAGGTCGGTGGCCTTGGGTGCACGGCGACCAACACCCGTGATGGTATCGTGTCCGACATCGAGTCGAGGTGGTCGTGCGCCACGAGCCTTGTGCCTGACGAAGGGCCCTGCCAAATCGAGTTCACCTTTGCCGAACCCCAGAACATCGTGGACATCCAGGTCGCCTTCTGGAACGACAACGAGCGCGTCAGTACCCTGGAGGTGAGGACGACACCAATCAAACTGAAGAGCACCACTTTCTGACTCCCACCTACGACCAACCATACCTTCATTTCCCGTTACTGTTAGCCCCCAACAGGACGTTCGCCGCAGTGATCCACTGTGAGGAGTGCCTTTCAGAATATGTAAATCTTAGGCGTTTTGGGCTCTCCTAGCGATTGAGCGCCAAACGTACACACGCCGTGGGCTGTGAATCTACGTCCAAGCGGGCGACCTGTCCATGCATCTGACGCCCATCCCAAGCGGCTTCCTTCGGCGATATCCACAGGCGACGCTCGAAGCAGACTTTAATTGTTTTGTACGCAACACCTTCCCCACACAGGTCCACGTCAACGGCGAGCTCACCCACACGCACGAGTCCTACGATGACACCTTCAACACGCTCGGTGTGACAGCTACGGAGGCCAGCACTGTGATGCTCGAGTCCGTCGCTCTCCTTTCGGACGAATGGATCAGTCTCCTCGAGGTGAGCGTTGCTTCCACGATTGATTGTTGCGAGGCCCAGCGGAACTTTCCAAATGCTGACGTCGAGGGGAGCTCTTTGGTCTGCTGCTGCTGTTCGTGTCCTCAGGCGTTTGACATAGGAAGCATATTATGTATGGTTACCATCTTGGACACGAACCCTATCGAGCGTACTCGCCGAGCAACCGATGGATGTCATTTGGAAGGCAAAGCGTGGACTCCCAAGACGTCTCTTCTTGTTTGTCTAGTTCCATCCTTTTCGTGGACCATTCGGCGCGAGCGAGTCTATTGCACAGTGCTCACAGGTAGTATACCACGGCATGTGTCTTGGAACGTTCCTCTGGAGCAACCGCTCGTTCCTTCCTCCCTGTCGTCTCTGCCTGTCTCTGGGTGTGGTCCTGTTCTTTTGCTGTCCACCTACACACCAGGTGCAAATCTTCGTGACCCCTTGAGTGTGGCCCAAGCCGAACGAAGGCAACAAGAACTGAACTTGGCTTTCTACGTGCGGAGTAGCTTTCCCGTATGGATGCCAACGAAAGTTCCTGGATCGCTGTCATCAAAAAGAGGGTTTGGGAACGAACGTGGACAACGTTGACGACGTGGTGTCATTCCTGTTCGTACACACGCGCGTTTCACCCCCGAAAATGCCGCTAGAATTGCAGAGGCGCCTCTCTGTTTTTGCAAGAGTGCCACATCTTCTGGAATCGCCATCGCTAGTTGTCTCCGTGTTCGCCCTCATGCATTTCTTCCAATGTACTGTAGTAGAGTATGTGACAGTGATAGTAAGTAGTAGAGAATGCCGGTAGAACGCTTGATATTTCCGGTCAGGGGTCTTCTCTTCAATTCCATTATGGATAGACGCCAGATGTCAACACCATCGTACTCGTTCCTACTACTTTTCTGGGGTTTGTTCCCAGGCCCGCCGATGAGGGCCATTTTTCGTTTGTTTGCAGAAATAGCTGTTTAGAGTTGAGGTAGGGCGGGCCAAAAACGGGACCGCCGCAGGCAAAGAATGGGATATTAGGAAGGTTTGTTCGTCGAAGCAGATAGAATAAACTGGTGTTTATTTTGTAACAGTCGAATTAGAATTTGGCTTCATTTCTACCGGAAACCCAGGGTCACGGTGTTTGGATTATTTTGTCTGTAGTTGGGGGTGTCATTCCGTGATCGAGTCCACGCAGGGGCTGTAGCAAAGTCGGGTAACGTGTGACAGCTACAGAGCGCGTGAAGCAACGGAAGGACAGCAGCAGCCGCCTAACGCAGTAGCGGCGGCAGTTTAGAAAGGGACGGGAGGGGACACGGCGCAAGCATTGGGGAAGCGACCAGCGCGCGCTCGGGACCCTCCATATAAAGGTGTGTACTCGTGTCCAACATCCATCGTGTCGGCCGTGTTCCTATCCGCGTCCCGCTACTCTTGTGACCTCACCGCTGCGTGCATTAGCACGAGAGGGGAGGGTGCAGTAAGATAAGCGGCGGCAAGCCGGCGTACCGCAGTCTCTCTCGCCACGCCGCTCAGATAGGTACCTTCCCAAACATGGGATGCGGTTCATCCCAACCGAGATGTACTCTCGCTGAACAAAAATTCAACGAAAAAAGAAAGCGCGGGGCCTGTTGTATGGTGGCACGCTGACTTGTCGTGGTTGCTGTACGTGCCACGATAGCAGCCATTGTACTGCACGGGGTGGAGGAACCTTGCGGCATCGGACATAACCAATCGACCCGAGGCAGTAGGGCATGATGCTGTAACGCAGTAGCGGCGGCAGTTTAGAAAATCCCGCCCTCCCATCCCTTTTCTTTCGTAGGTGGGGGCATAAGTTCGGGAATATTCGGTATCTACTGGAGTCGGGTGTTGTAGAATGGTGTGTACCATTTGAGAACTTGGTCAGTTTTGGGACTCCTGCGTTTGCAGTCGTAGTCCCCCGGCTAGTATTTGTGGGGAGAGAGATGGATTTGTAAGAGTTGACGCCGGCCTTCGCAGCTAACGCGGCCGGAGAGACGATGAGCGTTTCGTGCGTCTCTCTCCCCAACACGTAGCCTAGAAACCGAAGAACTAATGAAGCAATTCGAAAGAAAACAAAATAAACGGCGTTATTGTTGCAGGAAAGCACTCACATAGTGTGAAATTATGGTGTCACATTCATTTGTTTTTCATCGTGAAGCAGGCGGGGAGAGGGTAACGAGAGGATATTACCACTCGAACACTCGCCTGACGGCAAGAAAAAGGGCTATAAAGAATGTTATCGCCTACAGCGAGACAAATTTGCCACACAATGATGCATTGGCTTTCGGCGAAAAATGTGCGCTTGGATTTTTTCTCGTGCGTAACGCCGGACTCGGGCGGTCCATGGTACGTTTCCTGACAATCCTTCAAGACAGCACCAACCGCCCCCTTAATCAACGAGATCCCTGAGTGCTGGGTACAGATGGCGCCCGCACATAAGTACCTTATTTTGGCCGAGGCTCGATGCATATTGGCTGCCTCAAATTGAGTACCTGTTTTTATTTTCAAAGTTCTTAGTTTCGAGCAGGCGTATCCACATGATAAACGAGGTTCTTGTTCTTACTCTTGTTCGACGAAGGCCCCATCCAGAGAAAAACGTTTTTGTTTTTTCTGGGTGGATCAACCTGACTCTTGAGAGCAGCGTGTTCATAAAACAGAGTATAATAGAACGTCGCTCAACAGAGACGTCTGGACCCGACGTACCGCAGCTTCCGCGATCACCATTGGGTAGAAATACAGGCGCGGCATCGCCTGACATAATGACGCATCTGACCAAACATTGAACTATTAGAGGCCCACAAGGGTCACGTTCGGCGTGATTGTCCTCCCCGCTCTACAAACGCCCGTCGTAGCTCTTCAATGCACGGACCTCCTCCCTGCTCTACGGCGTTTCCCTCAAGCAAAGGACACGGCCCAACCACCGCATCGGCATCTCCACCGTACTTGTTCAACGGCAATTTCACGTGCGCGTACTTTGGTCTAGCCCGAAATAAATGCACACGGTAGTCGTAAAGGTGGCGGGTAGGCTCCGAGTGATCAGCTCAGCCAACCAGCCCATGCTCAGATTAACGAGCTCCACGCTGCAACAACGAATAATCAAGAGCAGCGAGTTTAGACGCTTGAATCTGAAAACCGGTGGGTGCAACATGTTCGTCGCCCCCGCGTCGACTTGATGGCCTCCCAATCTGACTTCGTGGGCAGTTGCCAGCAATGGCATGTTTTTTTGATGACCTAGAGGTAGTGTCGATCAATGACACTTCGTCCTTCCAATTTTCACAGCTGGCCGAGCTCCTTCAACGTCTCAAGGGTAAAGACATGGCTCTCGTGCATGGCACGCAGCGTGGCAGGCACCCCAATGTCGCGCGACAGGGATATCCTTTTGTACAACAAAGCTTTAAGCACCCACCCCTCCCCCCGACCAAGGTAAAAATAATGTGAACGCGGCTCCGAGTACAAAGGTCGGGTTCATGTAGTTGCGGAATGTCTCTTGGACAAGAAGGAGGGGAGGTTGGACATGACTGAGCTGGGAAAAGTAGAAGGAAGATACGGGGAGATGTTTGAGGCATGGAATAGCCAGGAGAAGACGGTAGCTGTACTGGGGCATAGAACGCGGGTTGATGAGGCGGGAGGTGATATCGATAGGATAGATAGGCTAGGGGGAAAGTCTTTAGAAACCTTTGGCAAAGTAGGAACGATTGGCCTTCGGTCTTCGGTCCTGCGGAAAGAATGCTCCGTCCTCTCGACGACGCGTGGTCAAACGTTTAGCCGCTAAGATCTTGGGACAGCAGGTGTTTCCCGCCGTTTTTTTTAATTTCCAAAACACGTTTGAAAATTGAGGGAATTTGCATGCCCTACGACTAAAAGGAAGGGTGCCACACACAAAAACGCCAGACTACTCAACAGTACCTAACACATTTCTTCTGCACCTTCCCAACATAACATATACACACAAGACAGCTACCAAACTGTCTTGTTGAGCCTGTTACCCACAGGGAGGGGAGATGTCCCTATACATATGTATGCTGTCTGGGAAATCGTAGACATACAGGTACTTTCTGACGCTATGAATTCAGTGCTAATCTGTCTCAGACTCTTTTCTATGATAGAGATGGATTCGTTGTGTCATATTAAAATAAAAAAACGTTATTGATCGGTTGCACGTGCGACGTAACCAATGCCCCGAACCGTAACATGTGCATCTATCTACGTAGGCTTACCACGACCACCAGGCAGAACAAACAGAAAAACAGCGTGCTGTGCATCGTACTGCTGCTGCTCTGAACGCATTGCTGATGGTTCTTCAATATATAGCCTATCTACGCCCGACGGTCGCTACAAAATACGTGCCAGAGTATTGAAGACCTACATACATGATGCTAATCTGACTCTGACTCTTTTTTTTTTTTTTTCTTAAGAAAAACCTGCTGAATGCGACACCACTGCAGTACTGCTGTACATACATAGACTTGTACTTTTTTATTCTACTCAAGCCAATGGTACACTAGAGGGATCAGCGAGGCCAGCCAGCACACGGACAGGCCCCTGCGCGTCTGTCTGTCTGAAGTTGTTTTGACTTCCGGGTGAAGACATTGAGGGCAGAGAGCGCTGAACTCTTTTAGCTTCCAACATCCAAGGCAAGCACCATCCAGGTTCGAACGACCGCCCAAACTGCGTCACCATGTTTTTCGAAATACATTCTATTCGATAGACTCACGTTCACCACATTCATGCACTGACAAGCTGAAAGACGGGCTGGCTGCGCTGCACTTTTGTGTAGCTCATGCCATAGTGGCGGGAGGGATCTTGTATGGAGCGAGCCAACTCGAGCGAGCGGTAAGAAAATAGAAAAACTTTCAACCTGCAGGAATAGCATGAGCAGGTCCGGCCAGCAGAGGCCGTCAATCGCGGACTGCTGTGCGTTGATATGTAACGTCTACCAGTACGCGCTAGAGGCTGAGAGAACCAGCCCCGTGCTGCACCTGGAGGAACCTGGAGGAAGAAGAGCTCTTGGTTCCGTCCTGGCCCTCTGCCTGCTGCGTTTGTCAGAGCGGCGGAGAGGGTGAGAGGGATGCGACCTGGTGGGTGGATAAATTGAGGTTCATAAATACCCCGTTGGCAAAAAGAGACGCTTTACGTTTGTGCGTGATGCCACCGCAATTCCACCTGTGCGAGCGAAAGATGGGCGGCGCACACATTTCGAAGGACAGGCGGTTCACTCGGCTCTGGTTGACCAGAATAGAACGTATTGTGGTCTGCTGCTGGTATTCTCCTTGGGTGATTGGGGCGGGTGACACCGATCTACGGAGAATACATCTACATGTGACTGCTGTATATACTGTACAAAGTATGTACAGCATTAGTACCGATCTGTCGGAGACAGTGGACCCTCGTCGCTCGTCGCTCGTCGCTCGTCGCAAAAAAACAAGTTCACGGCGTGCTCGCTCGCTCTCCTGTCTGGGCGTGGTTGATATACGCGGGGTTTGAGTCAGCCACATACCCTTCTCTTCAAGCGGAGTCCGTGTGAAAAACAGTGCCCACGACCAGCCGGGCAGGCAAACACGTTGCCGCAGTGTTTGTCTATCGGTTTGTATAGTCCCGCCGTACCGTCTCGCGATGGATCTTTCACCCCGAGAAAACGGACTACTACTGCTGTAATTGAGATACCCGCTCGCCTTCGGGCTGAGGCTAAAGAGCAGTAGCCTAGTATTGAAAGTCTTCAATGCTGGGGGTACGTTTTTTGTACCGACCGTCGGGCATAGATGGGCTATAGAAGAACCATCTGGGATGTGTGCGGAGCAGCAGCAGTAGTACGTACGATGATTTTCTGTATGTTCTGCCCGGCGGTCGTGGTAAGGGGCACGATTTCTGGGTACACCAGCCGGGGTCACACAGGAGCTGCATATTCCGCTTTCCTTCTATGGTGTTTTTTGGGAACCAAGTCCATGACGCTACAGTGTACGAAAAATAACCAACAAGCACGACAAACACGAAGAGACTAATCGATGGTTATCATCAGCATGCATCGGAAATTCATTTTGTGCGTGTGTGTCAACCGTGATACACCTACATGTACAGATTATTGCTATTTTGCATTTGTTGGACAATGGGCTCGTCATGCTTTTACCTGTAAACATGACGGGTATGCGATTGCTGGAAAAGGCGTGTCCATGAATGAATTGGATGTATGCTGGCTGTTACACCACACAAACGCGATTGAAACGGGGGACAGCTGCGCTCAGAATTCCGTCTCGATGATAGACGGCGGGTGTGAGAGTCCAAGTGAAACGGGGAATGAAACGTGCGGGCAGTCGTTAGGACTACTGTACGTGACCACGCCCAGATGTTCCTTCATTTTCTCCAGGAGAAGAATGAAAGCGTTTTGTTCCCTCGAAGTCAAATGTATGCGTGACAATATACAAAGTTATACGTATCGTGTGCAATTCATTCCATGCACCGAGATTCATTCGCTCTGTGCTTCAAATTGTCGGGGAAATATATTAGCACAAGGGAAACATTCGCTTCGTAGTAAGCCGGGGTTCGCATCTACCTCCGGGTTTCAGTGTTTTTTGACCGATTCTCTAGTACAGTACAAACCAGACGAGATATAACTCCACCCGGTTGATTCTTAGGCGACGTATGTGTGAGCATCTGTGTGGTTTACGCCCCCAAACGCATGGACCCTGGTGGAAAGTGATTATTCATTCCATTCCTGCATCAATCAGAACCGCATGTGTTCACTTGTTTGAACTGTTAGCCTGAGACACGCGAAGGTGGCGGCGTCAGCTGGATCGCCACCAGCACGGATTCCACGTCGATTTTTCGGAGTCAATGCTGACGGCAGGCATGACTTGAGTGAGCTTTCGCACTCTCTGTGCTCCCATAATCAAGGACTACAGTAGTACGCACGCTTGTCCATTGAAAAACGTTCCATTTTGACCTTTGACAACTCATACATGCCATTCTCCATAGAGCCTACCACAGAGTTCCGTAGGATGTTCATGGAGTTCCGTATGGTCTGGCATGCGGGGATTATATGGACGGAACCGCTCGGGTCTCGACCATGGCACCTTGTGAGGCGCAACGGAGCACCATGGAAAATCGAAATTTCGCGGAGGAACCGCGGCATGGGCAACTGATGTGATGAACGATTGGGAGTCCAAGATACTTGTGCTTTCGGGCCCAATCACATCTATATGTTGTACGTACGACGCCAACCGAGTCATCTAAACCAGGGTGGGTGATGCCATGCCTGCTTCGCTGCTAAGGCGGCAGTTGGACGACGTAGCATTCTGCATTCGGTGTCGCATCGACGAGGTTGCGACATCTAAGGAACAAGACACTGGTTGCGGACAAAGTCCGAAGACAAAAAGAGGAAACGTCGAACGCTGCTGATACCTTTCGCACCAAGCTCGTTCCGCGGAAGCTATGGAAAGTTTCCGCGGAAACGTGAAAAAATTCCCCGAGAAGTTGGAAACTTCCGCGGAAAGTCCAGAAGCTCCGAAAACATTCCGCGGACAGTGGAACGTTCCCGCAGAAAGAATCAGGTTTCCGCAGAAACCCTCAGCGGGAAACCCTCAGCGGGATTATCAGGTTTCCGCGGATGTTTTCCGATTGCCGAGGAAGTTTTCCGATATCCGCGGAATTTTGCGGGGAAAATCTCAGACTTTCCGTGGAAACTTTCCGCTTCTCACGGAAATTGCGCGGAAACAACTTCGAACTATTTGCCTGGGCCTCCCTACTATATGACGACGTGCTTTCCGTCACTGTTACATCCCGGCATACAGAAAGTTGGATGCAATTCATGACAGCGAGAACGCGGAGACAATCAGCGAGGGCGATTCTAGAAGATATGACACCCTTGAAAAAAAGAGAGCGGCGGCTCTGTTATTCCATTGGCATTTTCGGAGATGAAACGCGTTCGTGTGCGAAAAGGAATGATCCCACGTTGCCAACGTTGTCCATGTTCGTTCCCAAACCCTGTTTTCGATGACAACGTTCGAGGAACTCTTGCTGGCATCCATTCAAACAATTTCCTACGCACGTAGGAAGCGAAGGTCTGTTCTTGTTATGGCTTTGGCTCGGCTTGGGTCGGCGTATCCACCACTCAAGGTGTCACGAAGATGAGTACCTGTATTAGTGGACAGCCAAATCCAGTACCAAACACAGAAACAAGGACAGACGACAGGGAGGAGGAACGATTTTTCCTGAGAAACGTTCGAAGAAATACAACGTGGTTATACTACCCGTGAGCACTGTGCAACAAGGTCGCTCGCCCGAAAGGTGTACGAAATGGATATATCTGGACAAACAAGAAAACCCTTGCAATTACATCCAAGCCTTTCATTCCAACTGGCATCCATCAGTTGCTTCGCGAGTGTTTTTCCTGCTTGATAGGGTTCGTGTCCAAAATGGTGCACATGCACAATATCCTTGCTATGTCAATACCTGAGGACAAAACCAGAAGCAGCAGACCAAAGAGCTCCCCTCGACGTCAACATATGGCAATATTCTCCGGGCATCGCATCAGGCAATCATGGGGCACAATGCTCACCTCGAGGAGACTGATCCATTCGTCAGAGAGGAGAGCGACGGACTCGAGCATCACAGTGCTGGCCTCAGTAGCTGTCACACCGAGCGTGTTGAAGGTAGAATCGGCGTAGGACTCGTGCGTGTGGGTCAGCTCACCGTTGACGTGGACCTGTGTGGGGAAGGTTTTACGTGCGATAAAGATGAAAGTCTACTTCGAGCGCCGCCTGTGGATATCGCCGAAGGACGCCGCTTGGGATGGGCGATATGGAAAAGGTAGCCCGTTTGGAGGGAGATTCACCGCCCGCGGCGTGTGTACGTCCGGCACTCAGTCCCTAGGAGCGGCCAAAACTTCCAAGATTTACATGTTGTTAAAAGCATTCATCGCAATTGCTCGGTGTGGCAAATGCGCTGTTGGGGGCAAACAGCAACGGAAAAAGAGAGCTCGGTCGGTCGTTGGTAGGACAAAAGTTGAGGTACCGTTCAGTTTGGTTGGTGTTGTCCTCACCCAAAGGGTACGGGTCCGCTCATTGCCCTTCCAGAAGGCGACCTGGATGTCCACGACATTCTGGGGTTCGGCAAAGGAGAACTCGATCTGGCAGGCACCTTCGTCAGGCACAAGGATCGTGGCGCACGACCACCTAGACTCGATGTCGGAGACGATACCATCACGAGTGTTGGTCGCCGTGCACCCAAGGCCACCGACCTGTCCGCATCCGACGTCGTCGCTGCTGCTACGGGGCCGCACATCGTGGGCGGTGGCTGATACGCCAACCTCGGTCTTGGTGCCCACCTCAACAGCATCGATGACCGTCGGCAGGGACTCTGTCTCTTCCCAGTGGACGAACTCGTACGACGTTGGCTGGTAGTCGTCGTGGAAGGTGAAGTCATCGCTCCCCGTAGTTCCTTCGCCGAAGCAGGAGGCGGTAGGGTCTTTGCAGTCCAAGGAATTGTACTCGCTGCTGCAGGAGTAGTCGTCATCCCAATCCCAAGCGTTCTGGCATGTGCAAGAGCAGCAGTCGCCGCCGTCGTAGCCTAAGAGATAGCCACAGAGGGCAGGTATTAGGTGCTGAAATATCACAGCTGATAAAGCTTCAAGTCAGGGACACAGAGGAAAGGGCTACCGCCGAGAAGCAAGAGGGGCAAACGAAACGAAAGTCGCCAGAATCGCAACAAGAAACAGCACAAAACGGGACGAGAACGACGCTTGTGTTTTGTGTTGTGTAGTCGGCACCGCCGAGCCCGATGTGGTGTTGATAGTGTCACTGAATACCTACTCATATGAAAGCAATCGGTAGCACGCGCAGGAAAGGGAGAGTGTGGCTAGCGCTGCGGTCTTCACAACAACGCGAAACAGGACCGCGCATTGCAAAATAGAGGACAAGTGTTGGGAGCCACTGTCGCCACCGTATGCTGCTGGACGACGAAGCAATTGTGTGCTAGAGAAGAGACGGAGAGCGCTAGTCCAACCCCAACCCTGAAATTATTGGTAGGTCGCCAGCAGCGTCTAGGGCCCTAAATCAATGTCGACGGAGATGAAGGGGAGATATCCCTAGAAACATGGCGGGCGTGCCTTCATAGTCGGCCCGAGTGCTCAGACCCTTGCTCACAGACACCTTGCATACAACGGGTTTGAAACGTGTCCAGGTGACATCGTACTGTGCTCATCTCGTCGAAGTCAGGAACGAAACACGGTCTACCGTTAGAACCCAACAAAGACTAACAGGTACACCGAGCTTGGCTAGGTTCAAGTATCGCTTAGGACTGAAAATATATGGCCGAAGCAATAGGAAAAACAGCACGGTGCGACGTGTCGTAGGCGCACTATAATCAAAGTAAAGCGCGGCTCTGACGCCGGTTCCCGTCACGAAGCCTTTTATGAACCAGCGTTTCGTTCCATTTTCAAGCCAAGTAGGCTCAAGGAGATCGGAGACAATACACGGGTCTGCTCTGCTCAGCCTAAACAACGGACCGCCCCCAAAGTAGACTCTGGCGGTAACAACCAGCCCTCCTTCCCGAGAGGTCGATGTTTTATCACACAGTTGTGCGTGAACGATATCCTGTACCGTTTCATGACGCATGACCTCAAGGGGTACCGTGACCCACCGCATTCCTCCTTGTTGTTGTTTCTATCGCACCAGCCGTTGCCTATCCCGGAGACGTAGCCACAGTTCTTGGTCATGTCCACCGTAATGTCATCATCGTTTACACAGGCCGCGTTGGGGTCGATGCATGCAAACTCCATGCAGTGGTAGTCCTTACTTCCAGTCTGACAGGGGGGTGAGGACAAGGAAACAGAAAACGAACACCAAAAGTAAGAGACAACCCAGCACCCAGTCAGGCGGACGGAAAGTAGAGGAGATGCCGGCCAACACGTCGAACAGATGATTTCGGAGCCGTGTACAGGTCCAGATTCGACCCAACACCAGTCGAAGCCTTCGTGCCTACATACCTCGCAGGTCTAAACGACAGCAGCTACTTGATTCAAGACTACGAGAGAAGTTGAGGCACGCCAACAGAAGAGATTAACCTACACGAAAGGGACCCATTCGGATTCCACACATGCGAAGGCGCAAACTATTCCGAATCCGAATGTGTTAGTCTCTTGTACCATGTGTATGCGCAGCAAACCACTAGATGCGAGGACGGTGACGCCGTTCAAGACGAAGACTGCAAACATGTTCCAAAAACGGATCGGCTGTACGTGTAGATTCACGGAGCGGTGGAAGAGAGAAATACCGAGGAGAAGATAAATAGCCAGCCCTACAAGGGCCCATGTGCTGCAAGCGTTTCGTGAGGACCGTATGCTTCGCGTACTTTACCTCGCATGTGCACTCGCAGCAGTCGCCTCCATCGTAGCCTGGGAAGTCATGGCGGGTAGCACGACGACGACCACGACGACACAAACAACAAACGGGGAGGGGGCACAACAGTTGGTCGGTCGGTCGGTCGTGCCACGCCTGATGAATATTGTACGAGCGCTCGGGTGAGTTTCAACGAAGGCACGTGTTCCGCAGTTGGCCGTTGAAGGCAATCGTGAGAGCGAGGTTCACACATATTTTCGAAGCTCGATTCCGCCACAGCGGAGAGAGTGGTGGGGTCGAAATGGTGGTGTGGGAACCAGAAGATGGCGGGGTTAAAGCCGTTTCTTCGAGCGCTTGCCGAAAATCTGAACCGTTTTATTTGTACGGTCTCTTCGTGGTGTAATCGGGTTGTTTGATGTCTGTCCAGGGTGACATATTGTGTCTCTACGGTGTGCGTGCATCTGTGCTGCTGGTGCTGGCATCACCGGTTGAAGGCTCTGCTACACAACCCGAACTTTCGGCGAGACCCCTACACCCCACTGCTTGTAAGTACTTGTTACGACCCCCCCCTCCCTGGAATCTGGGTGTAGTCGAGTTGGGTGCCAAGATGGAGGAACATCCGGCAAAGTAGATTTCGCCAGCATTGGGGATGAGTTTTTGGAGATCCCCTGTCGAGGGGAAGGCATACATTGCTCTTGTGCACGATGTGGGTGGGTGTTTCCGGTGCGTGATGGGCTGAAACGACCATCCTCAGGCCTCTACGACAAAAAACAAGGCATTGGACAACACGTGGCAGGTCAGGAACCTACCGCACGCCTCGTTGTTGTTTCCTTCGTCACACCAGCCGTTTCCGATGTCCACCGGGTATTCGCAGTTGACGAACATGTCGACGGTGATGTCATCGTCGTTGACGCAGGCTGCCTCTGGGTCAATGCAGGCGAACGTCGTGCAAGCCCAATCATCGTCGAAGTCGTTCTGGCAGGAGGTTGAGCGGCAAATTGAGTGATGCGCTTGTTCAGACGATGGCAAGGGGCAGAGGGGGGGGGTAGACGAACCAACCCAGAAAATATCCCCTATTTGCCCAACGAGCGATGCCCTTGTTCAGACGATGGCAGGGGGCAGAAATGAATGACGGGGCGGGGTAGACGAACCAACCCAGAAAATATTCCCTATTTGCCCAACAAGCTCGATTCGGGTAACAGGACAACGCTCCTTTTTTCACGTCCAACAGACTCAGGGTCAGCATTTACCTAGACTCGGCGGGAAGGTGAGATGCCACGACCAAGGCTCGAAGGGAGGCGAAAGGGAAACACACGAGTGGCTTGGTCGAGACAGTTGTGGCGGTGGAATGGCCACAGTACTCACCGGGCGGTCGGAGACGCTCAAGCTGTTACAAGTGAAAATTCGAAGTTTTTTTTAAAATTTGCTGAAAAATGATGCACAGAGCCCGCCATGGACTTGTGTCCACAGTCCAAAGCTTCCGATCATCTTCAATTCGGCAGGCTGCCAGACCTTAGTGTCTCGATTGAAATATGGTAATGTATTGTGCACGCTTCGGCGTGACTTTCCAGCGTTTCAGGTTACGATGCTAAGGGCCCCCGAACGCCGGCACACGTTCTTCGCAATAGTTGGTTTCAAGCATTGTCCGTCGCTGCATCGATGAAATAACATGCTTCCAAATTGCCGTGGGAGTATTCGAGCAGAAAACGAAAACCACTTCATCAACAAGACACAGCGAAAGCTCCTACAGTAGCATCCAAGAACAACGGGAGCTAGCTAGCGCTCGTGTGAATCGTCCCTACCTGACAGGTGCACGAACAGCAGTCACCGCCGTCGTAGGCTGCGAAAGTTGGAGGGCAAGAACGCGCAAGGACAGGCAAGAGAGAGACATCGGGGTCCACATGTGTTATATGTAGTACGGCACGTGTGTACTCGTGAGACTAAAAGGGAGCGAATACATAATCGAGATCGGGGCGTACAGGAGTAGAATCCCGTGGAGCAGAGGCACTACATTCTTCCTAGCGTTTCAGACGTACTTGACTTAAATCCCCAATACCGAAGGCGACACGAGTGCGTCAAAGGGCGGCAACGGCGAAGGAGCCTGCCAAAGCGACGTAAGCAAAAATCACGTGTACCACACACATTTTTATAACTCTTGTGCGACCGTCCTCCCGTATGAACCCCGCTGATACGTCAAACACTAATTGACCAAGAGGTGTGCGGACTCGCGCCGTCAGAGAATATGGGACGAACACACGCGCACCGTGATCTTGCCTCAACAGCTCCCACGATGAGCAATCAATGGCGTACGACCTTCATGGGCCTTGGAGCTATCATGAGCGTGCCATCCACGCGTGACAGCTGATCCACAAGTCCGTGGGGTGTCAAGCACCCGCGCCCACGCCGTCTTGAAGGCACTCAGCTCCATTTCAATTGTCAAGAAATTCCTACATGTTCGCTATGGTACGGCAAAACGAAGTTCTCGGGCCAAGACCTACCGCATTCTGGCGTGTTGAGATCTTCACTGCAGTACCCGTCGCCGATTTCGGCCGCATATTCGCAGGTTTCGATCATGTCGACGGTGACGCTGTCATCGTCCACACAGGGAGCGTTCGGGTCGATGCAGGCGAAGTTGCGGCAGGCCCAATGGTCGTCTTGGTGTCTCTGGTAGGTGCGCGCGCACAACAGGGAAGATCGAGCATTGGCGGTAGCTCGGTCTCGACGTGGAAACGGGGTGAAGAGAACCACCCTAGCACACACAACACTACGTTACCAACACGTGCATGCTCACGAGCTGTGAGTGCCACCTCGTACACGTGCAATTGCGGGGACAATCGACAGAGGCACACCTTTTTTTAAGGTGGGCAAAATGGGCCAGAAAAATATCCAGTGAGGACGGAAAGGGCAAGGGACAAAAAGAAATATCCACAACAAAGAGTTGCCAATTTCTAAAACCTTCACGGGCCCAAGTGCAAATAGCTGAAGTTTGCACCCGTGTCCCCATCTTGGAATGAAGTGCTTGTTCAGAGTTGCAAGAGGACAGCACACGAGCAGCTTCGGGGCAGCCGTATCAACTGAGGGGACAAAACCTCAATAATAGCTCTCGGATCCACGCTCTTCAAGCGCGTTCACATGGGAGATGAAACAACAGTATTGGACCCGCGTACCTTGCAAGTGCAGTCGCAGCAGTCACCGCCATCGTACCCTAAAGAACAGAAAAATTGTTAAGCATCGAGGACGAAACACAAGGGAACATGGAGGGGGGCAAGAACGTTATTGGCTGGTTGAGCCTAATCCACGAGAAAAAAGGTCGAATGCGGTCAATCTGGCTCGCCGGTACAATACGAGAAGCCATCGAATGAAAAAAGACAAACAGGCGCTCCTTCATTACCTACGGCGCACCTGCTACCAACAGAGAGATTGAGACCAGTACAGGCGACAGAGGTTGTTCCTTGACCGGTAGCGCAACATAGCGTCGTCTTACATGTAGGACTACCAGCTCGGGAAACATATATGGGGACTGGATAAAGCACGAACGCCACCCTGTGATTTCCTCCGTCGTGGAGAAGCGCTACGCCCGATGCGTCGGCATTCGTTTGGGACAGCAAGACTTGCGATTTCTTTGACGTGTCAACAGATATACACAAGTTCACTGGAACCGCCCGGACGCATCAAACAAGAAGGGTTAAAGCCAATTGGATAAAGCCAGTTGGGGGCGCTTGGGAGGGGAATACGGCGCTGCCTTCAATGGTTGTGGACAAGGTAGAAGGTTGCCGTCCATTCTGTGATAACTCCTCCTTCTCCAGAAGGGTGGTAAACATTTTCAAGCTGAAAAAAGTCATCTTCCGATACCAGAACCTCCAAGACTTACCACATAGCTCGTTGTTGTTTTGTTGGTTGCAGTAGCCATCGCCGACTCCCCACGGGTACTCGCAGTTTTCGATCATGTCCACGGTGAAGGAATCATCATCGACGCAGAATGCTAAAGGGTCGATGCAGGCGAATCCGCCCCTCCAGCCGCACTTGTTGCTCGGCGTGTCCTGACAGGCACATACGCGGCAATCCGTTTGCCGGACACACGCGCGAACAGATTGCAAGAGATCGAGCGACAAAGCGGCAGGGAGGGTATCCTCATCGTCACGCCTGAAAGCACTACGGACACCACAGACGATAGCACCGGGATTAAACAACGAAAGGAACTTCGTCAATGTAGAAGGGGTTTTACAATAGGGCGAACCATCCTGAGGTGTTTCGCGGGCAACACGAACGTCACATAGCATCCAAGGAACGGAATGCGAGGCCGGGTCACTCCGTGCTCCGTTTCTTGCACTGACTGGTTTTCATGCGGCTCGGTTCCTTTGCGTGCTCCCGGAGACAGCTATGAAGACATGATATTCGATGTCACACTTCGCACCCCCGATTTTCAAAGCTCGGATTACTCCGCAGTAGGAAGAACGGCGGTGACGAAAACGGTGATGTTCGAACCGTCTTCTCGAGATCTTTCCAAAACGCATAGTTCGATTCATTCATCGGCGTTGTCATGGAGCAATCGAGCTTTGAAATCTGGTCCGAGTCGTGTGAAAGTGTGATATCTTAGGTCACCTATACGCGATGTGGCTCACCTCCTGGGTGTCCGACACACAGCAGTAATTGATGTGATTGTCCTACTTCCACTGAGATTCGATAATTCTCTACGCCGCACATACCCTGGTCCAGCAGGAACAGCATGTTCACTGCCACGAGCGAGCAACCGCGAGAACAGATATAAGCGACCGAGACTCCCTCTTCAGGAGTCTGCATCCTTAACAGTATTTCCTCTTACCAGTCTCATGCCCTTCGAGGGTTCCGTTTAGAATGTGCAAGGGGAAGCAATGATTCTCATACCTCGCAGGTGCACTCGCAGCAGTCGCCGCCGTCGTAAGCTGAGAAAAAATCGGGGGGGGAGGGGGGGGAGGGGGATGGAAAACGAACGGCGGCATAAAATCATTTAGCACGCACCACATCACACCACACCCTACCATACGCCACACGTTCTTCATTGAATAACAGAGCAAGTCTTTGACATACCGCCCGCTTCACACAGTTGACTTCAGGCCGCACCATGTTTTCATGACATGGCTTGCGCCATTCCGGCTCATTCTTTCCTCCAGTTGTCCGTGGAATAACTGTTTTGCGCTAACTCCTTCCACGTTCTGCCGCAATACAACTGACGGGGTATAAGAACCAAGACGCCATGATCACGCACAGCATGCTTCGTTGTTGTTATCCATGTCACAGTAGCCGTCGCCTATTGAGACAGTGTCGCAGCTCTCCACCATGCCGACAGTGATGTCGTCATCGTTGACGCAAGCCGCGTTGGGGTCGATGCAGGCGAAGCCACCGCCGCAGGCGCCGTCCCAGTCATCGTCCCAGTCATCGTCCCAGTCATCGTCCCAGTCGTCGTCCCAGTCGTCGTTCGCAGGTGGAGCCTGACGGTTGCGTATCCAGAGCAATATACGTACAGAAGAGAAGTCACCACCCGAACCGCTCTGGGGTACATATGCATACGGCTCCCAAGCGCTTGGTACAACACCAGGAAATTGCGGAAACGGGAATGGATGCTCATCCAGACCCCAGAGGTGAGGTGATCAAGGCAGTCGATGAAAAGGCGAGGGCCAAGCAATCTACCAAGGAACACGAAAAACTGATATATTTAGGGCTGTGCCTAGTTGGAAAGTTGCTCACCACGCATGTGCACTCGCAGCAGTCGCCGCCGTCGTAACCTGGGGAATCAGGGTGGGACGGGCGGAAAAGAGGACACGAATGGCTTACAGGAGAAGGAAAACTCGACAATCAAGGTCGGATGCCACCGATTGCGTCCTCGACCTCGAAATCTCTCAAATGCAAGCCAGCGTGTGCACGGGCAGCCCAGCACAACGCAAACTCACCGCACAGTTCGTTGTTGTTCCAGTCATCACACCATCCATCGCCCAGACCCCTCACATACCTAGGTCAGTGGTATCAAGCGCGTTCTACGTCAAGGCAGCAATAAAAAGTGAGGGAAAATCCAACACTACATTTCAAGATGTGGAGATGAGCATGACAACGAGTCGACGTCGCCAGCGGTTTGACCGGATTCCAAGCAGCTGATGCGAACGAAAGGCTGGGCACGCTCCTCAACCGGCGATTCTGGGAAATCATGCTGGGCGGGATACCATCTGAATATCAAACCTGTCATGATGGAGAACATAGTTTTCGGGCTTAATAACGCGGAAGAAGAAATTACGCATGTACACACACTCACGGGGTCCCAGTTCTTGGCATGTAGAAGCGTTTTGTGTTTTCAAACGCACTGAGACTGACGTGTTTTCATTGGTCAGCCGGTTAGCGCGGTCGATGCTAACAATAAAAACACACACACATGTGGGAGACTCCGAAACACATCGGCAGCAGTTCCCTGTCACCGCACGTACATCCATGCCACGCCGAATATCACATCGGCAGGGAAACCCATTCCCGAAGAAAAACGCGCGTTCGTACTGATTGTCAAAGGTGGGGCGCCAGCGACTACCATGTGGTGGAGCAGCCGAGTGGATTCACCGCACCCTTGGCTGTGGTGCTTGATAGACGTCTACACGCCGCACTACATGGGAAACACTTCTCGACGGCACCATGAAGAACACGTCCATAGGTTTGCGTGGTGTTTGCAGTACTGACTTACCCGCAGTTCTCCACCATGTCAATGGTGACATCGTCGTCGTCAACACACGGTGCTGCCGGGTCGATGCAGGCAAACCCGGAACCGTCGGACGAGCAGTACCAGTCGTCGTCGTCCCATGGGCTCTGGCACAAGCGCGAGTACCAACAGACCAACGCAGTACTTGTTCAAGGATGAGGAAGGCGGGCTGGAGGGGAGGTAGGTCAGGGATCGAGGAAGCAAGTGACAAGCCAGGCAGGACTCGCCTTGGCTATAGCAGGAGGAACTTACGTTTCAGGGCATTAGAGAGGACATTAGGGGGGTGCGGGGGGCTACTCATCTTTCGCACAGCTTAATTGATAGACCATGGACCACGGGTCAGCGCGAGGACGGAGTATAGTCACAGAGCAGTAGCGAGGAGAGTAGGAAACAAACGCCAGCAGGCACAGAGCACATGCAAACGCAACCAAAGTTCAATCCTCGTCTCGCTCATTGCATACCTGACTGTCGTGCCATATTATTTTGAAATACTGTTACTGAACGCTAGCAATCGTAACAGAAATGTGCTTCACCAAACAAACGAGACGGCATAATAGCAAAACCCTCTTGCGTACAAAGGGTCGTTCAGAGTTGGGACGCAGGCATTTGGACGGGGGAGTTGGGATATCTACAATGGCGGCAGGGTCCAAAGCACGCACTCTTCAGAACTCCCACGCGTTTTCGATTTGCTTACCACACACGTGCACTCGCAGCAGTCGCCGAAGTCGTAGCCTGAGGCAAGGAGGCACGGCAAGGAAGACGTAGGGATGCGGGAAATGTTGGGTACAAATTCTGAACTATTTCGTAAAATAACAACTCGTTATACATGGGTTCGCGGCTTCCTTGGGTTCAAGACCCTCGGCCCGTTGGAGTGCGGACGTCTCGCAGGTTTGCCAAACGCATAGTTTACGACGACAGTAACCAGAAACTCAACAGCTGCAGACGCGATTTCAAACGTGTAGAAAACACAGACAGCGTTCGGGATGGGTTGTACCGCCGTTCGAAGGTGAAATAGATGAAGGAAGCGAGGGCGCGCGTGCGCGAGGGGGCGCTACAGGATAGCGAGGAGGATTGCGAGGAGCGAATGAGTGAGGGGGAGAGAGAGAGAGAGAGAGAGAGAGAGAGAGACACAGACAGACAGACGGACAGACAGACAGAGAGAGACAGAGACAGAGACAGAGAGAAAGACAGAGACGGAGACAGAGAGGAAGAGAGGGAGAGACGGAGAGACGGAGAGAGGTACGCAAAACAAGCCAATACCACCGCCCAAAAAATGCCAGGTGGTTGTCTGACAACGTAGGTCGATGTGGTTGCAAACGTTGACGTCCACGTCCCACTGTCCGCATGAAAACAGATGTCAAACACTTACCGCATATCTCGTTGTTGTTGTCCTCATCACAATAGCCGTTCCCCAAGTCCGAAGTGACGCAATTCTGCGCGATTTCGATGGTGATGTCGTCGTCGTCAACACAGGGGGCATCCGGGTCGATGCAGGCAAACCCGTAACCGTCTTTGGAGCAGAACCACTCGTCGTCGTCGCCCCATGGGTTCTGGTTCAGCAAGTGCGCGGCAAAGAGCGGACGGCTTACATGCTCACATGCATGGTGGTAGGGATCTCAACAAAAGAAAGAACCGTAGGAGTGAGACATGGAAGAGACGAGATCCACGAGGCACGCCTAGGACACCTTCCGACCAAAACAAAAAAGAGGCGTCTACGAAAAAGGGTGAGAGAGAGGGGGAATGTTCGGCCTCAGAAGTGGGAGGGGAGACGCACATCGGGAAAATATAATATGACTACCATGTATATACCCGCGGGCATTTCAAGCGCTTTTCATGCGTAGGATGTGTACCCTAGCGGCTATATGCACTCTGTCCACGAAAAGAACGAAATGATCGGATGTTAGATTCAGACCGGCGGTAGAGGTATGGAGGAAGGTCGATGGGAGCGAATCCATCGAACATCGAGAAGCAAATTTCTTTACGAGAACCCACCCACGATTCACAATATTCTCACCACGCATGTGCACTCGCAGCAGTCACCGCCGTCGTAGCCTGAGAGAAACGAGCAAACAACGACAGACACGGGAGAAAGAGCCAGACGAACGAATACCAGGGTCACACCTGGCCTTGCGGTTGGGATGGGGGCGAGCAAATTTGAATTCCAACCAAATTCGAGTAGCCAATGATGCATGAGCAAGGGAGTGTTATTTTCAACCCGATCATGTCTGGTGTTGATCCACACGTACCCATCGGCTGCTCCATGTTCGGGGAGCAACCGAAAAAAGCCAGGGAAACGACAGAGAAAACAAAACGGAAACGGCGAGGGGGGTTGCCGAATGCAACGAATCCGCAGGAATTCGCAGCAAGCACCAGTTTTCCGTCATGCTACCTCCAACCCCATCTTGAACCCATTCTTCCTCGTTAGAGAGAGAGGACCTCGATTGCGAGAAATGCGGTAGGAGGAGAGACCAGTTTCTACAATATCAGCGCCCATGGTCACCTGGCGTGTGGATGCGAACAGTGAGATGAAGAACGGTGAAGAGGAGACCGTGAACAGCAGCACGCATCGAGAGGACACCAATTGAAAAGGACAGCATCACCAGGCAAGACTAACCTAACCGGATGTTGTTGTTCTTGCTGGTTCAAAACGTTCTAGAATCGCCGAGTACCGTATATGACACAAGATAACACACCCCCTTGGCCGATTTTCAAAGAGTCACAGCGCCGAAAACGGCGGCGTTGGAACCGTCTCGTCGAGAGCTGTTCGAAAACGTATTGTTTCATTTATGCATCCTCTTCGTCGTGGAGTAATCGAGCTTTGAAAATCGGTCCAGGGGGTGTGTTATCTTGTGTCATATACGGTAGTGGTTCTGTGATGAAATCGAGCGCTGGCCTCTATTTCTCGCTCGATACTTCCTCTGTCACATAAGTAAAGTCCGTTATGATTACACGGCCATTTAACCGTGTCCGATGTCTTAGGCGATACTTTTTTTGAAATCTTAAGCGTTTTTCGGGTTGAAACCCATATTTATTTATTTTTCTTGCGCACTACCTTGCATGCACTAGTGGCTTACAAAAAAGTAGTCAGGCCAAAAAAGGCCGTACTTTGCCCCTTTCCATGAGGGTGGGGGTGGGGGCACGAAACGAAACATGCCAAAAAAAAGACAAGAATTATCCCGAACCCTAAACCCAAGGTTACCTCTACTCAACGATCCATTTCGCGTCCTCCCATACTAAAACCAACATAATAGTGAAACCACACTAAAATCAAGACACTTTCGAGGCCCACACTAAAACCAAGACACTTGGGGGCGCCACACTAAATCAAGTTACTTGCGGGGCAAAGCCGACAGGCGTAGGGTCCTAACCCTACCCCCCCCTTGTACTCAACGACCCATGTCGCATCCCCCAATACTAAAATCAGTATAATAGTGACCCTACACTAAACCCAAGACACTTGGGGGTTCCATAATACAAACAAGATACTTGAGGTTACCACACTAAAACCAAGACACTTGCGGGACAAATCAAACAGGCAAGAACCCTGACCTCATGCCTCCTCCTCGTCATTTGCCAGATAGTCCCAGGCCTTCGCGAAGGCCTCCTGGTCGTATTCAACGCCTCTTTCTAACGTCCCCGCCCTCTGCCGCGCCGAAACCCCAGTGTGCTCCACACTAAAGTCGTTGTCGCCCATCTTACGCAGTGTCTGGTTGTAAACCTTAAAGAGGCTCTGCCAAACCCGCTCTAAGGTGTCGCCGTCGTACTCCGCGTACTGCTCGAAGATAGTCTCCACCAACTCGTCTATCGAACTAGCGTTGCAAGGTAGACCTCTCCGGTTTCATCGATCTGCGCTTTGCATTCCGCCCAATGGTTTCTGGGGTAATCACTACCAACGCCGTTCCGCTCGGCGAGGGGGCCTAGAAAGCCCTTGGGTACCCTTTCTTTGCCCGGCGGAATCGCCAACGCTATCTCCACTGCCATGGCGTACCGACGACCCAACGATACTTCCGCACCCCGCTTACGGCGTGGGGGTTGTCTCAGCGTCGTCCCCCATGATAGCTACGTCGTTGTGGTGGTAGTGGGTGCTCACACAGCACAAAGCTGCAAATATTCTTTAAAATATTCTCAAAATGTTCTCAAAGTACATTCCCAAAATATTCGCAAAATAGACCCATATTTGACCATATTTGACACACTAATTCTCAGTATTTATGAGTCCGATTTTTTTTTTTTTAAGTTATGTGCGTAACGAGCGCTTTCCAACAAATCTAACTAAAGCTTCAGGAACACCTTGGCTGGTGAGGTATGTAAATTCCCCCATAACGGACTTTACCTATGTGACAGAGCAAGTATTCTATTCCCGGACCCACATACCGCACTCTGCCTTGTTGTTCCCGGCGTCGCAGTGACCGTCTCCGATACGGCTAAGCCTTTCACAGTTCTCCACCATTTCAGCAGTAACGTCGTCATCGTCGACACAAGAGGCGTCTGGGTCGATGCAGGCCATGGAGTCTGGGTTGCAAACATAATAGTCGTCGGCGGTTTGCGTCTGGAGTGGGTAGGAGCGTCAGCACAGAAAGGGAGGAGAAAATACACTTCTCAGCAAAGGCCCGACGGCGGTGACGGGGTAGAGCGAGAGAGAACCATGGTTCTGTTGCATGGTACATTCTCGCATGAGTATATTTACGCCTCGCACGTGCATCCGCTGTGCGATGTGCCAGTACGAACAAGTGTTCTCCATTGGGCAATCAGGACAATTAGCGTTCGAGGGTCAAAGGGGGCGGCACGAACAGAGAGAGCAGAATCAAATCTCGAAATGATCCACACGGATAAAACGGATCGTACCTGGCAAGTGCACTCGCAGCAGTCGCCGCCGTCGTACCCTGCAACGGGGGGGGCCGAGGGGTGACGACAACGAACGTCGACATGAGGTGAAGGAAATTCGCACTAGGAGAGAGACGAGCCAGATCGAATATTTAGAACCGTTGCAACGAGGGTTGTAGGCCCACAGTTCTACGTAACCTTGCAATCAGTCACGAGAGGGGAGATGCCGACAGCTTTCTGGACCACGCACATGCTACGCCGAAACGCGATCATTTCGTAAATCGAGAAAGAAGGATAGAAACGAGACATTTTAACAACGGCCCAAAGATCTCGGTGATTCAGTGGGAGCCATGCCTTCGAAGGGTGGGAGGGGCGACATTCATGAACCAGGCGTGTGTGTGAGAGAGTCGGCGGGGCAGAGTTAAGGATTATTATTCATACCGCCTACTGTACCAACGATCTTTACGGCCTAGACTAAGCAGAGACCAACGGTCTTGAAGCTCCGTATCACACTTGGCTACAGTCTACCTTCCTAGGCATGTTGTCAGCTTCCAATATCTTAAGAGCTTGGACACCCCCCGTTCGGATCTCTACTCAGACGTTGTAGTCTGACTTCAAACTTGTTCGGATCGTCGCGCCTTCAGCACGTATCAACCACAGCTAAGGGCGATTGCTCGTCGCACATGGTTGTCAGCAATGGTTTTCGGCTTCTACTCGGAGGAATGGGCGAAAGGACGCCCTGAACGTTGTTTCTGAACGGAACGAGTAACATCACCAGGAGGTACAGTAGACATACCGCATTCTGCATTGTTGTTTTGCAGCTGGCAGTACCCGTCTCCGAAGCCATCCTCCCAGCAGGCACCGACGCTGGACAGGATGGCCGCAGCACCGAGGACGCCCAGCAGGCGGCTGGAATGCTTAGTCATGGCGACGGTCGTACGCCGTGCTTTCTCCCGGAAGTGTGGCCTGGTTGAGGAAAGTAGGGACAGCATCGCAGAGCGAACCGAACCACACCGTCTGTAACCCGTTACCTTCTGAGGTTTGGGACCTGAGTTCGACTCGCAGCGTAGTCGCCCGAACTTAGACTGTTGGGGTTGTTGCTGTCTTGGCACAACAAATATTCTGATCTCTTTTCGCATCCGTGTCGGTCCAACTGATGCCGACGTCATCCGTGCTAGCTGTTCCCACAAACGATTATACATACGACGAAAACTTAAAACAAGAACAGGCCAAACGCAAATCGTAATCAACGCAAAAATATTCTTCACGAACAGTCAGACTACGCAAGAGACATGTCTCACAACGTATCGATGCCTAGAGCCCACCGAGCCTCGAGCGACAGGCGAGGTCTAGCTAACTTGTCGCCACGAAGGTACGTCCACAGAACAGGGGACGAGACCCCGTACGATGCCGGCGTTGTGTCTGGCAGTTGCGACGGAAACGGTCAACCGCAAGCGATCGCGACAGGCTGGCACAAGGCATTAGGCTTTGATTTCACCGCACCGCAAATATCCTTGGCCTGGACAAGGCGCTAAACCACGCAAACAAAGACCGGAGGAAAAACAGAATATTACTGGTCGTGTTGGGCGTTCGTGTACTCCCCGCTCTTGTTTAGCTACATTGGCCGAAGACCGTCCCTCCGCTCTACGATCGTAGGACCTCCGCCCCCGTGCTCTACGGTGCTCCCCCAAGCAATCGCGCGGTTCGTCTTCTTGATACCACGTCCGGGCTGGGCACCTGCTCTTATGGATAGGTTCACAACCTGTAGACCTTACGTGCGGGCTCCATCTGTAGACGTGCTGCTGCTTGTTTTGTCGCCCGCTACAACCTCTGTCCGGTAAAGTGTGTTTGGTATCCGATTTTCTCCCATGGTCTTCCCTCTCCCTCGTTTAGCTCCCATATATATGCGCAGCCCATGACAACCCCCCGGCGATGAATGGACGGTCAAAACGACGTCGCCTTCCGATGTGTTTGGTGTGTACTAGGGAAGGATGCACATTCCGCATTGTTTGCGACAAGTTTCGATGATTTTACATGTAGTGTTTTGGCAATCGTTCGAATAGGACATGTAGATAAAACTCCGTGTTTCTACGCAACTAGGCGTGGTCGTTTGTCGGTGCGAGGTTGTTGACAGGGCCATTTTCCCTCGCATGCGTTGAATGAGTGTGTCACGGGGCGAGTCCCAGAGACGCGATGGTGTGGTGGACAAATTTCTGCAGTCTGTCTTCCAAAAACAACATCTTCCACGTTTTTTCCTCTCGCAGCCTTTCGTGCTCGAGACCCTTGCTTGAACTAAACGTTGCCCCGTCTCTGTAACTAACCGCAGGTCGAAAGCCCGTATTGTTGTGCAGAGAGGCACAGGATGGATACGAGCCTTCCTGCGTTTTCAAAAGTTTGGCGGGTGGGTTTCTACTTGTGTTGGACAGCTTTGCGTGGCGTTGTTGCGTATACAGTGCGTAGCGTTTGTGTGTGGGTTGCAAAGTATTGCAGCCAACAGGTCTTGCACAAGACCCAATCATGTGTGGCAGCCGTCCTGACGGTGTTTTTCCGTGGTGCTCACTTCCGTTTGCATACTGTAGTACAGATAATAAAATGTATTGACGGGCCTGGCCACTGCATAAGGGACAAAAACGCCACGAACTTCGGGTTCTGTATATGCTGTGTGAAGGTGGTAAGTCGTATCGTGGATGGATGCCTTTGTTGCCAAAACAAGACAAATAGGTGGACCTTGCGCACATCATGCCTTCATCTACTACAGCAGTCGTTCCGGAGTAACGTGCTCCGCGAAAGTATTTCAGCGCCCTTTCTCACTGCTCTTCGCATTTTTTTCATGCCGCTGCCGTTGTCGTGCCCTAAATGGGGGTCTTGACATTAATTAGTGGGTTTTCGGCCATGGCCCGCCCATAACCGTCACAATCCGGGCAATAACCTTACCCAAATGTCACCCACTGCCTATATACATCCTGTGGGTTGCAGAGGGAGCAGGTCCCTCCCCGTGTCATTCTCAAACCTGAAGCGCAAAGAAAGCGCCTTGGGACTGCTGTACTGAGGCAACGCAGAAGTTCGTCGGCTTCTTTGCCAAACAATGCATGCAACACTAAATTCCGAATACCTCGTTGGAGCCGTCCGACCGACATTTTCTGTCTGTACACCTACAATGCAGTTAGTAGACTTAATACTTTTTTTTCTGTGGTTCCTCTCTCTACAAATGATGACGCTCACATACCATTTCTGCCGGGTAGCTCCGATCCATGGTCACACACAAGGGTTCCTCTCCCTGAGGCCCTTCCTGGGGTGCTTGCCTTCGATGTTTGTTGTTGGAAGAAGAGTGCAGCTCTCTTCTTGCCTCGACGGGTTCACCCGAACTTCATATACAACTTCAGACAGACGCACAGCTGCCCGTCTGTGTGCTGGCTGGCATCACCGATCCTTCAGGTGTACCATAGGCTTGAACAGAAAAAAAAAATGTCTACGGCGGCATGTATATGCATTTACGTAGGATCGTATCCGCAGGGTTTTCTCAACGCTCGCTGCCTGACTTCAACACATTGTTTCAAAGGGATGTTCATGTACATACACATGTGTCACCTGCACATTACGCTGTGCCTCGCCTTTCCACTCGCACCCGTGCACGGGAAAAAATTCTTATCAGCTTTCCAACATCGCTGTCTTCTTCATAGCGTCTCCCTCTTCACCGTCGTCCAACACTTTCGCTTGCAATTGGGGCCCCCGCGCCCACTGGGGGCGCGGAGGCCGTTCAGTACCTACAGTACCGAAGTGACACAAGCACACCCCGGTGGTAAGATTTCGGAGTTTAAAAACTTATCACCGGGTGTGCTTTCCTGGAATGGATGTGCTATCTTGTGTCACCGGTGTGATAATGTGCACGTTGACAAGAGCCCGCAATCAGGTGAGATATATCAAAGGGGAATGTATGATAAAAAGGGTGTGTGATAACATATACTTACCTGCTCCACTATTCCTTGAAGCGGTGTGATAAATTAGGGGTGTGATAACAACTTTGCCAGCAGATGGCGGCTCCCATAGACTTTCCTTGAAAGGGGTGTAATAAAAAGGGAGGGTGATATCTCCATTGCCAACTACAGAGAAGCAAAAAATTTCTGCCCCCACATTCAAAAGTATTCCTACAAGGGGGTGGGTGTGATATATTAAGGGTGTTCTTCAAAACACACACACTTCCTTGGAGAGGTTTCATAAACAAGGAAGAGTGTGTGCTATCTCTCTTGTCATCACATTGTTGCCTCCACATTCCTTTGAGGGGTGTGATACGAGGGCAGCGCGAGGGCGGCGACAAGACAGGGTCGTGAACGCAAAAATATGTGGTTAATCAATTGCGCAGACTTTGATGGCACTTCCAGCAGGGTTGTTTCCAGGAGGGTTGTGTCTCCGTATTGTCCTTGTTTGTGTGCATACCAGCTGCTGTGTGCATCTGCTCGTGTGTGTGCACGTCGGGCTGTGCACATCCCAGTGGTCCGTACCACCACCAGCCAACAGGTGTGATAATGGGGGTTCCGTGATTGAGTAGCGGCGTAGTGACTATAGGGGGTGTGCTATCTTGTGTCACCGGTGTGATAAATTGGTGTTTTTTCCCTGTGTCCAAAACAAACGTCAACGGGTGTGCTTTCCTGGAGAGGTGTACTATCTTCTGTGAGTGTGTTATCTTGTGTCACTTACGGTAGTCTAGTACGTATGTTCTTAAGGGTTCTCTCATCGGTGAAAGGGTTCTCTCATCGGTGATGATGTACTGCAGCACACAACACCATCAGCATCATCACCAGTTTGCTACCACCGCCGTGAAGAGGGCTGCGGGCACTTGCGGAACTTCGAGTACTTTATGGACTAGCGATCAATCCAGGTGTGAGCTCTCCAACTTTGTAACTTCTCTGGTAAGCGGGCTGGCGGGGTGGGTTCTTCTGGCATCATCCCAGCGCCGTTGGTTGAACAACATGTTGTATTATTTATTTATACCAGGTATATTCTGCTGTTTAGGTTCGAACGACCGCCAGAACACATGTATGACCGTGTTTTCGGAGATAGATGCACTCTTCGCAATAGACTCACATCCAATATCACCAAACCCACTGACTAATTTCACGTGTACCGGCTGGCTGCGCTGTAGCGCATGCGATGGGGGGTGGGAGGGAACTTGTGAACTTGTGTGCAACGAGCGGAAAGAGACAAAACAGGTATGCGCGTACTGCTGTAGGTAAGGCCAGCAGAGGCAGTCAATCGCTGACAGCTGTGGGTCGATATGCACACAACGGTCTGCCGTCTACCGCTAAAGACTGAAGCACCAACCCCCTTGTTGTACCTGGAGGAACCTGGAGGAAGAAACCCCTTGTTGTAACTGGAGGAACCTGAAGGAAGAAGAGTTCTTGGTTCTGTCTCAGTCCTTTGCCGGCTTCGTTGGATGTTGGAGCCGTTTGTGGAAATCACGGATGGGATCACAAAAATTCACAATACCCCGTCCGCGAGAAGAGATGGAAAGAAACGTATGCGTATGTGCGTGCCACCACAATGCCACCTGCGGGCTACTTGGGGCTACGAAAAAACGAACGGTAGAACGAGCAACGAATGTCGGTGGCGCACACATATCAGAGGCGATCGTGTCCGCTCTATTCTGATTGAACGATTGGACAGAATAGAACGTTGTTCGTGGTCTGCTGCAGGTATGCAGCTGCAAGGTTCTTTTTGTGACAACGATCTACTGTACCAAGAATGTGTGAAAATATGTCGCAGATCGGAGACCCTCTTATTCGCTCCGCACAAGAAATTGCTCACGGCGTCTACGCGGGGTTTGAGTCAGCCATATACCCTTCTCTTCAAGCGGCGTCCGTGTGAATAACCGTGCCCACACGACCAGCCTGGCAGGCAAACACGGTTGCCGCAGTGGCCGGAAATGTTG